AAAGCTATTTAATTGAGATATTACTGTCTGCTGCTTTAAAAAGGCAAGTAAAAAATCCAGCTACACTCCAAGTACTGTCTGCATACTGGAACTATATAAAATATTTGCCACCAAATAAAAAACTCCCATTATTTGCCTATTTGCAAGTACTTAGCGCTTCTGCAAAAATAGTTTGTGTGGTGATTTTCAAATCAATGAAGCTTTTGTCAAAGCTGAGTACTTAGTGGCTTTTGGGTGGTGATTTTTTTTTTTTTAGTTAGGCCTACTTTATGGGACCAAGGACAAAGGAAACCATTTTGACTTATCCCCTCTAAGGAAGCATCTATGTTTTGTCTCTTCTCTTTTGAGGGAGTTGCTATATTTGTGCGTTTTTTCTGAGTGCACTTTCTAAGGATCTAAACCATGGGTTTTCCCTTGTGACCACTTGCAGATGAGTATGCAAGCACATCTCCAAACCAGATTTCTGTGAAGATAATGGTATGTGGACTGTCAGCCTTGGCAGGTCTACAAAAGAACCCATCGGAGGGGGGTAGGATAGTATGGAGAGAGAAGGTCTTCATGCTAAAGTAAGTTTGCATAAAGTGTCCAATCTTGAACCTTTTGAAATCTCCCCTCATGGGATTTATGAAAATTCTTTCAATAAAGAGCCTTGTTTACTTTATACTCTTCAAATCTCGCTCTGCTGTGTTAGTGTTGGGCTTTTCTTTATTTTATCTTTTTCTCTGTAATATACTAGAAGCATATTAAGAAATGATTTCAAGGGGAAAAGAAGATTATTATTCCAATTTGAGATTCAAGGTATTTTAAAATGTGTGATGTGTATTTCAATGGTGATGAGGCACATAGGGGCATATGCAGTAGAGCTAGCTCTCTGAAATCCATTGCAGTAACTGGATTTATGAATCCTGAAATGGAATAATAATCTCCTTTTGCTGTTCCTGGGGGGAATGCTTGGCCTGGCAGGAAGAACTCAAGACCCTATAGTCCTGCACTCTGTGATTCTCTCAATGGTAATAACATCATAGCACAGAGGACACACAGCCTTGAACAATACAATGCAGACTTCTGTTCTCCTCAGGTGTTTGTCTTTTCTTTTAAATTCACAGAGGCAAAGAAACATACTGCAGAAAATGAGTTTAGAAAATAAATGTCTAAACTCCATGATATCATTAGTTTCTCTCACCACACCATAGAGCTTTGTCCACTGCTGATGTGCACAGCTTAATGGGATGGTGAATGTCTCCTTACAGGCACAGAGCACCTTAATCTGCCTGTGACTTCAATGGTAGCCAAGCAAGCCCACCATCTTGCTAGACTGGGCAACTTGTGCTTAATTCTACACCCAGTGAAATCAGTGGTGACATGCCCATTGGCTTCAATGACTAGTATGTCAGGAGCATACCTACTGTGATCCACAGATCACATAGGCTATACCATGGCACGCTATAAATGTTAGAACAGTGTTTTGGACATTTGCCTTTCTTTTAGATGAACAAGTAAAGCTTTAATGTTCAAAGGAGGGTCACTGGGTTGCTACTGTGCCTCTGTAGGGCACAGCTGCTTGCACAGGAAAATAAAACCGTTTTCTCTGCATTTTTTTCCTTTGGAGTATGCAAAAATCCCATGTGCATTTTTTTTATGAATTGGACCCTTCTATTTTATAGCCAGTACAAGTTCATGCTTATTACAATGCCATATTATGGCCTTAGCCACTTTTTATATCCCTGTAACATAGTACCCTGGAGAAAGATGCTTCACTAAGCAAGAACCAGTAAACTTGCTACAGAATCAGCGGAATACTTTTCACAAAAGTGCATAAACTTCTGTTCTTAAACATTGTCATCCTTCACCTTAACAAGCACAGCAAAAAAGGTTCCACCGGTTTCTATGCCTTGTTAGGTCTATCATCTTTTTAATTAATAGTGTTTTTACGAAGCCGTCTGAACTGTGTCATTTCCATTATCAGGAAACCATTGCCATTAATGAATAATTTTCATTTCTGATCCTTGATATCATGCTAGTTGATCTCCTGTTTCCATGCCGCCGAATGATAGCATCGTTTTCTGCCCACGATCAAATTTAATTTGGACTCTGATTATATTATGCTGTTGCGACTGAAGTGTCAATTTTTGTCAGGCAATTAGGAGCTATAACCTGTGAAGTTAAGTTTGATAGGCATTGTAATTGGATTGTTACAGTAATAGCTTGGAACATTCCTTTTTTTCCTTGCTTCTTTGATTTTTGATGCATACTTTAGTATTAAGAACAAAGGCATTTTGTTGTTATGCAACCATAGGACATTCAAGACAACAAGATGGAGACAGGATTTTTCCACTCGCCTCACGTGGACTTGATTTAGGTTTGGCTACAAATCATGATGGGATTTCGAAAAGAATTCTGCTGGGGTCAACAAAACCTGCAAAAGTCAAATATAGAATCAAAGCTTTTACAATCATAATTCTTTGTACTTCTTTCATTGAAAAGGTTACATAGAAAAAATAAATCAGAACTGGAAATGTGTCAAATTATTCTTTGCACCATTCTCTCTTCTTCTTTTTAGCTATTTAGTGGCCTCTGTGGGTTTGTGATCTCTGTGAGTACCAAGTATGGTAATTTTGGAACATACTGTGGCTCAAATCCTCGGCTGGTGTACATATGGGTGCACTTCACTGGCACTGTGCCCATTTACACCAGCAGAGAATTTGACTCTATGGAAAATAGTCACAGCATGCTCGCTAATATGTAATGGAGAACACATTTGTAATGGATCCTTGTCAGTTCACTCTCCAATGTCAGATTGGAAGTATCTGGTTTTACCTTTTTTTTTCTTCTCTTCAGACACAGTAGTCCACAGATTGGCTGTTTTTCAAAAGAGAATTGTTCTTAGTGTCTTTGGCTTGAGCTCAGGCCTTCACCAGGTGTCCTCTTCTGATCATCAGCACAGTGAAAAAACATCTTAAATAGGACAATGGAAAAGGTACTACCATATGCAGCCCTCATCTCATTGGGAATGTGTTATAGCCACAGCTGTGGGGTGAGTACAAGGAGGAGGAAAACAAAGGAACCTCAGCTGCTGTAATATATAAGAAATAATGTACACACATTGGGGTGCGGTTTTAGAAAATGGAAAATCCAAACCAGAGTTGCAAGGTGAGTGGCTAAAGTGAAGTTTAAACTTTAAAATTAATGAAAAGCAAATTTGAAAAGAGACAGATGTATGGTTTAGGTAACCCCCATAAAGATTAAGGTTCTTAAGGGAATTAGCTGAATATCAGAGGGTATCTTCCCTCCCATCCCATCAGACTTCCAAATCATCGTCTCTGAAACAACACTAGAACCTCCCACCTGTTGTTGTTTCACTGGGAAGTAGCTTTCTGTGATCTGCTGGACTCACTTTCCAAACAGGCATCTCATGCTGTGGCCTGGTAGGTTCCTCCCTGCTTCCGAGGGTAGTGACTTGAGGGAAAGCCAGTTCCGTTCATCTTCTTCTCAGTCATCCTCAGTGAGCTTGCTGAGCTTGCTTGCCATTGGAGATGACCTGGTGTGTCTAATGCATCCTTTGACAGTACTATGCTCCTGGTAAGCCTGTTCCTTCAAATCTACACTGCTGATATTCTTCCATAGTGGTGAATGATCCTCATCCCAGTGCTGAAGCAGTACATCCCAGCAACTCCTCTGCTAGGCCCTGATGCTTTATCTTTTTTTACAATGTATATTCACAAGTTTGTGCTTTCATAGTGTTTTGTGGGATTGCAACATTCCCAGTCTTGCTCCCTCAGTTCCAGCACACATCATGGGAGACTGCACGTTTTTGAGATGACCCATGCTCAGGGCTGCAGGTAAGAATCTGGTGGAGCTCTGGATAGCTGTGCTTGGTAGATTGTGTCCCACAGAACATCATTACTAGAGGTTGTGGGGAGAAAGTGGTTTGTTTGTGCTTTGGATTGCTGCTTGGACAGTGAAATTCCTTGGTTTTTAATCCCCCTTTTCCTGTTTATTTTATTCCTGTTTATTTTATTAAGTGTTAACTGAAAGTTTAGATGAAATAAAACAAAACATTTACATTTGTATTACATTTTCTTTAAACCCTTTACTTTCATGCACAAAGTCTAAATTTTGGGCATACTCTTCCTGACATTGTTCCCTTTAATCTGGTGATGTCAAAAAACAAACTAAGAAACTGAAAGGATGCGTCAGGGCTGTTAAAGAGGGAGTGGATTGATGATGTCACAGAAGCAGCTTCATCTGAAAAAGTAATACACAGACTAGAAAGTAAGTTAAATGGACTCGAAGATATCTTAATCTATTCTGCTGAATCAGAAGGCAAGTCATGATAGGAGAGGCTGGGGAGAAGCCTATGGGTGAAAGTTTTTGACTCTGAAGATAAATATTTTCTCTTTCTCCATTTCTACCTCTTTAGATTCTCTTTTGCTTTCCATTCTTTTCTCTCTACAGGCATGTCTACACAGTAGCATTATTTTGTAATAACTGACGTTATTTCAAAATTACAAAATGCACATCTTCACAGTAAGCCTTTATTTCAAAATAGTGATGAGATAGCGGACTTCTTACTCCAACTCCTATAACCCTCGTTTTATGAGGAGTAAGGGAAGTCGAAGGAAGAGTGCTCTTCCTTTGACTTCCTGCTGTGTAGGCAGTGCCAAAAGCCGAATTAAGCTATTTTGACTTCAGCTATGCAATTGACGTAGCTGAAGTTGCATATCTTAATTCGACTTTGGTTCTGCTGTGTAGACATGCCCAAAGAGACAAGGAATAGGGTGGAATTATACCTGAAAAAGAAAGTAAAAGTCATGTAGATCATTATATGCCATCTGCAGGAATATAGACTAAAATTCTCTAATGACAAAGAGCAATAAACAGATAGATAAGTATGCATAAAGAAATCCTCCCTAACTGATGTGTGCAACTTTCTGGAGTCTCACAACAAGAATCATTATTAATTTTCCATTTTTCCGTTTATCTGATGCAGGACAAAAATTACAGTAGGATTGATGATCTATAGCTCATTTATTGTAATGCACTGCATCAATAGTCAATGAGCTCTGTTTTCTGAAAACTATTTCATTCTTCTTTTGCTATTAGTACAATAATGAAGCAGGTGCAGTATGTACTTGCATAAGAACTGAGAATGGCGTTAGCACCTACGTTGCACTGTACAGCTTTTGATACTTTGCATGCACATTATAAGCAACATCTGAGGACCGGCAGAGTTTAGAGGTTCAATATTCTCTCCCTTTCAGCCTCCTATGGCAGCGATGTAACCAGTTGGGGGCAGACTGATATTCTGGAAATTAAAGAGAAAAGAATTAAAAATTACAAATCCACTGTGATTTCTGCATCTGAGCCTTACCATTAATAATCTAATGTGAACAATTCTATTAGGTAAAAATGACGGGTGACTCCAAATGATATTTTTGAAATGTCAGAGCATGGGAAGGTTTACATTTGACATGCCATTTAAATACTTCAATACATTTTTATACAGGTTGGACCGAGTTGGTCCCGCGCCCTGGGGACCTGACTGGCCCCGATGAGGGGATTTCCTGGAACAGTGAAGGTCCCTCCTCTCATTGCTATGCTTCTACTGGGCTATGGCTCCAGCCTTCCCCCACTGCTGCCTCAGCCCCCTGGAGCTCTCCCCAGCCCTGCTGCTGCCAGGGCCGGAGAGCCATGGCCAGAGCTCCACAGCTGCCTGGCTCTGAGGCCAGGGTGGAGGGATGAGGCCAGTTCTCCACAGCCTGGATGGAACTCTGCAGCTGGGGCTGGGGCTGGGGCCAGAGCTTCCTGGCTGCTGCTGCAGCTGGAGCTCCCCGGCCAGGGAGGGGCCAGGGAGCTCTGCTGGGACCAGAACTCCCTGCCATGACATTCATCCATCCTCCTCCCTCCCCCCCCCCACACACTTTGGGCTCCCAGCTGAGTCACCAGTGCCTCTTACAGTGCTCCTGCCCCTACGCCAGACCTCCATCCTGGGTTCTGTGGTGCAGGAAGATCCATGGTCCATGTCAGACCACTGATATTGCCAGACCAGGAAGTCCCGGTTAAGGGAGGTACAACCTATATTTTAAAATAAAACCTATCATACTAGTGTAAGATAAATATTTCCAATCTTTTTAACCTGCTAAAATATGAGATGTTACATAACTCTTTATAATGTTTCCAAATATTTCATCTGAAGATATTTCATTGACAACTTCTGTTGTTTTTGCTACACTTGTCTACCCCATCACATTTAATACTCTGATTACACTCCTACTTTATGATGGATACAATCTGATCATTATGGTGACATACAATCTCTTCAGCAGCTAAAGAAAAAAAATCTCCTATGGAGGGGTTTGAATTGTTTCACCCCTGTGATAACTCCAGTGTTAAAAAAATATACAAATAGCATGTGTAACAGCACACACCTCCTTCACAGTGTCCTCAGCTTCAGGCTGGAAAGAACACATTTAAGGGTGAAAGGGTTCATCAGTTCCCATCCCAAGTCAGTCTAGTGAAATGGCAAACAAACATGTCAGTTAGTTGCATTAAATATGGTGGTTATGCAATAGGAACATCCATTGCAAACTGTATTGAGATAAAAAAACTCCTTTCTCATAAGACTCTGAACTGCTTCTATGGTAATATCTTCTGCCTAGCAGGACTGGATTTGAACTGGCAGCCTAGTGGGAATAGGTTCTGTATTCCACAACCATGCCCTTGAGTCATCAGTCCTAGAGCCTATTTTACAAATTGTGTGCCCTGTCCCATTATGGTACCTAGCTGACCACTTTTACTCATGTACAATGTACTTGTACAAGACACAAATAAAAACAGCCCCTGCCCTGATGAACTTACACTTACAGTTGAACAAATAACGATACACAAATCAAAAAAATCCATGGAAAAAGGTGTTCGTGTTGATTCAAAACATTTAATTCTAATTTGAGTTAAGAATAATTTCAGGTTGATTAAAACTTTTTAAAATTTCTTTTCTACTGGGCTGTGTCCAGACTCAGGGTTTTTTTCGGGAAAAGTAGCCTTTTCCCGAAAAAACTTCCCCTGCGTCCAGACTCAAGCCGCGTTCTTTCGAAATTATTTCGAAAGAACGTGGCTTTTCTTTCGATGGCGGTAAACCTCGTTTCACGAGGAAGAATGCCTTCTTTCGAAAGTTCCTCTTTCAAAAGAAGGCGTTCTTCAATGTAAATAGGGCTTCCTCGAAAGAGAGCATCCAGACTCGCTGGGTGCTCTCTTTCGAAAAAGCGGATTGCTCTTTCGAAAGATCCGCCTGCAGTCTAGACGCGATCTTTCGAAAGAGGCTCTTTCGAAAGATGCTTTCGAAAGAGCCTCTTTCGAAAGAAGCCTGCAGTCTAGACATAGCCCTGGATAGAAGTGTTTTGGTTGTCTCAAAACTATTTTTTGTTAACAGATAGAGAGACAGGACACACAGGTAAATCCAGTGATTGGCCAAAAGATCAAAACAACCTTTTGAAAGTGGATTGTGTGATAGTAAAGTTGAGAGAAGCACATAAGATGGAATAATTTTACAGGTCATATTATGGAAAATGAACAGTTTGCTTCCCTAGCTGTCTTTGTCTAGAAGTAGATTCATGCTAGATAGCCTTAAGGATTACTTCATGAAAAATATTTTCACACATACTAGATCAGTTCCATTCCCAGTTGTGTAAACTAAATGTATTAAAAAATATATGGAAAAATATTCATGCTCAAGATTGCAATGAATTGGAAACACCTCAAAATAAGAAAAACAAATATAAAATCACAACTGCATTAAGCCTAACTAGAAAAGCCTAACTAGAAAAGCACATGTAGTGCTCCCAATTCTCTTTATTTACAGACCCCAAGGAAAATTAAGGATGACCCTTGACACAACCTTCAAATCTGAGTGTGAAACCTTTTCAGAGTGTGGGGGGCATTGGTTTGTGGAGTTCTGCTTTAGATCCACAAGGATAAGGATGAGCTACAAAGTCTGGATGAGCTACAAAGCTTTCCCAAAATCAGGGATGTTCAAATCCAGAATTTTGGTTTGGGCCCATCTTTCCAAATGAAGCCACCAAACACCCATACACTGAGAAATGTAGTATGGTGTACAATATTTTGAGGGAAGCCTGGGAATGGTAGGGCTAGATATCTCAAGGGATTTGTACTGTTATACAAAGAATATAGAGAATCAATTTGAAATCAACCTATGTAAAAAATGGCTAATGCTTGATTTCTGTTTAGTGGCCTAAGAGAAATGAGTTGGCATTTTCAGCTGATTCCTAGTGGACAAATGTCTGCATCACGATTGGCTGCCTCAGATCAACGACAGAATGGACATGAAACAGAACTATTTTTTGAGGTTATCTTTTCAGTCAGGGTAAATGCAGATTGGCTAGCAAGGTGAGGAATATTATCCTGCCCTGTGCACCCATGCGATGCATAAACAGAGAATTTGAATCCTAGGATAGGATTTTCCAAACACGTTCTCAGCATTGACCTAACTCTATTATTGGATTTCATTGTGAACAGCTGCCACACCCTCAATGCTGAGACCCCCCCCCCCACTAGGATTTCTAGTCCATAATCCTGTCTCTCACTGAAAAAGGGGTGGGGGAGGAAGGAAGCAAGCTATTCTAACTGTAAAGGACAGGGGTTATAAATAGAGAAACAGCAATACAGGCAGTCCCCGAGTTACGCGGATCCGACTTATGTCGGATCCGCAGTTACGAACGGGGCTTTTCTCGCCCCGGAGGACTGAAGCGGCGGGACACCCAGATGCGCTGCAGTCCCGCTGCCCCTGTCTTCCGGGGCGAGAAAAGCTGCTCCACATCTCCCAGATACAAATTCGGATACACATAATGTATCTGTGCAAGGCTCTACACCAATGTTCTCTCCTAGTTCCATCTTCTCCAATCAAGCCCTTTATGTCATGTGTCTTCCTGCCATCCTACATCACTACTTTGCCCACACCCTCATTTGCCAATTGACTGCATTCTCCATAACTTCAAACCTGACCCCTCCAACCTATCCCTTTCCTGATTTAAAATTTCCAGAGGCTCCTTTTCCTCTTCAGTCTGATACTTGCCTGCTCTGAAACATCCCCCCCTCCCACATTACTATACTCTGAGAACTTCTCCTTTGCTTATCTAATTTCTTCATGGCTCAGAAATCTCTCTCACCTGATTTCCCCAGGCTCAACTCAGCTCCCTCCCAAATCCTCTCAGTTCAGAAAAAATGTCCCTGGGGTCAGAATCCTTCACTCTCCTATTTGCCAGCTACCATCAACAGGCTGAGAAACAACCCTGTTCCTAGATCACAACTCCACCCTTCTCAGACCCTGTTTATGTATTATTAGACATTGAGGGTGTGTCTAGACTTTAGAGCTTTTTTTAAAAAAGTGTCCTTTTTTTGAAAAAACTTCACCTGCATCTAGACTGCCGTTGTGTTCTTTTGAAATTAAATTGAAAGAACATTGCATTTTTAAAAAAATCATTAAACTTACTTTTACTAGAAAAAACGCCTTTTTTTGCAAGAGCTTTTTCGAAAAAAAGGCATTCTTGAACTCAAACAGGGCTTTTTCAAGAGAGCATCCAGATTGCTCTTTTAGTTTTGCTTTTTCAAAACTCTTGGCATTTGTCTTATAGCTATGATTAATTGCCTCCTACAGGCTTGAATATGGAATTATTAAAAGCCCTAAGCAAGAGGAAGTATTTAGTTGGACTACCCAAAGAGAAGACCAGAGATTGAATTAGGACTCATATTTTCTCCTGAAAATTGCTAGCTAATTGTTCAGGTATAATGAAATTACTCTGAATTACCCAAATTGTCCTGGAGTAGAGTAGAATTAACTTATATATTTTATTTGCTGGCCAAACAAACAAACACAACAGATTGAATACCATTAATTTTGGCTTGACCAGAAACAAAAGACATTCATTTTTTGGGAGGCAAGCTGTAAAAATAATAATAAAAAAAGCTTAGTTTGAGTTTTTTAACCTATTTTAAAAATAAAATTGGAGTAAAATTGAAACTGAAAAGTTATTTCAAATTGAAATTTTTTATTTGAAAATGACAAAACAAAACATTGAAATAGTTTGGAATTCTTTTTTATTGGACTGATTAGGTGAAGTCAACATAAATTTGTGAAATGTTTTGGTTTGCTCAAATATGCTTCTTTTGTTTTAAAAACGTTTGAAATTTTGCTTAGCTTTATTCTTGAGTTCAGTCATTAAAAATGCCCTAAATTGCAATGATGAGTTTTGCCTAATCACTCTTTGTTTCCCATTAGATAAAAAATGGCTT